ATTCACATACTTAATGTAATTTGAATTTTCTTGTAGAATCATAGACAGGAAATGGGGAAGTAAAATAAATTTGTTTAAATAAACTTAAGCAAAAATATCTTTATTATTTTTTCATAATTTTGTGATGCTTATCTAGGGCATTTTATATCAGTCATTGGCTTGCCAACTGCAGAAGGAAATCCCAAGTGAACAAAACCTATTTGAATACAGTCTTTAAACATTATAATAATTGGTAGAGTAATTATTTTACACTGGGTGTACATTTTAATATTTTATATACTATAGTTGTTTAATCCATGCCATTTTGTACTTTACAAAATGGGATTGCTACAGTAGAGTACAACTACTTGTATTGTAATCAGCAATCAGGAATTAGCTGGAAGTACTAATTAAGCCTTACAAAATCTAAATATATGAAACCTAATATTATATTTATATATCTTTATATCCTTATATCTATATATATATATCTATATATATATAGATAGATAGATATATATGTATCTGCCATCTGAAAATAGTAGTCTTCTGGAATTATTTTGCATGCCTGTAATTGACCACATCAGACAGGAGGAATGGAGAATTAAGCTTCTGATAAATGATTCTGTTATGTTATACTGACTATTTTGATTATTTCTAACACCACTTCCTGCCTCTTGGCCTCTTAATCTCCGTTTTCTGTCTTCTCTTTCAGTGTAAATGGTAGAATGCAAATAGCCTTATTGTGGAGGATTTTAAGTTGAAGGGAATGTTGCATGGTGCTGTGCTGATCTCCCATCATTGCTTAAGGGTCTTGTAAAAGTGCAATACCATAGTATAGGAAAGTCCTTGAGACTGGAACAACAATGTAATTTTATTAATCTCACTGAACATTTACTATTTATTATTCTTGCACTGGTAAAGGCAGATTAGAATCAAGTTGCCATGATTTCTCAGCATGACTCTAGATTGTTTTGTAATAGCAATGATAATGCAAAAAGAAATTCATATAAGAAAATTACTTAAGTAGCTGTATAGCTTTGGAAAAAATTAAAATGTCTGTAGCTATATCTGGGTACACTTAAATTAAGCACAGTGTTAACAACGGCAGTGTCTTTATAAGTTCACAGATCCATGTTCAAAAAGTAGCTCCTTCCATCTGTGTGATATTATATGGCACAAAATTGTCACCTGTACCAAGGTGCCACTAAAATGGCACCTTTCACTTTTGGTTATTTATTTTATTTATTTGGTGCTGAAAACTCTTGTGACATGCAACCCCCATCATGACAGAGACTCTCAGAAGCTCACCGAATTTTTCAGCACTTTCTGATGGAACAGTACATCGCAGTAACTGCTGGTGTAGGACCAGATCCACCTTGAGCTCCCTGCCCAGCCTGTGTAAATAAACATAAAGCAACATAAATAAACATAAAGCCATAGCTGAAATGAGTACACAGGCAGAGGATCCGGGGATTCTTAGCATCAGCTGGCTTTGTGGTGAGTGCTGAGGTTCTCATCTGTTGAGTTTCGTGGATGAAAAAACCCAAACCAATTCTGCTTTAAATTAAAATCAGATTAATTGGTATCTTTGTTTTAACCATAAATACATAAATACATAGTCCCAAATTTCATTTTAAAATAGTTTGCTTTTAAAAAAATGCGTCTGAAACCTTTTTCTTTGGCGCGATCTCATGATCGCCCTAGGGGAGGGAGGCCTTTAGGTTTGCAGTCACATCACATTCAGTTTTAAAATGAGACCTTCCAGAGCTGTCTGCTCGCTCTGCTCCGACACTTTCCACGGCTCGCAGGGGCCCGTGCGAGCCCGGGACAATCCCTTTGTTCTGCGCCGGGATCCGCTCATCCTGCCTGCAGTTTCCCACATTTCCAGTAGATGCCCCCAGAGACCATTAAACCCCGGGAACGGCTCCGCTCCGAGCAAAGCAAAGGGCGGTCAGTCTTCCCTCATTTCGCTCCTGGAAGTAACATAATTGTCCAAAGGAAACCTCAAGTCGGCGCGGGCGAATGCAAGAAAACAAAGTCGCTTGTTTAACAATAAATCGTAATATATCAGGTAGCAAGGTTCAAAAGTGTTTAGTGTAAGGTATTAATGTACAAACATACTACACTAATGCTAACAGTGGTATTTTGTAAAAAAAATCACAGAATCACAGAATATCCTGAGTTGGAAGGAATCTTAGGTATCTTATTTGATATTGATATTAGAAATTAAGTAATCTTTAGTTATCTAAAACATGAGTTGTTCTGCTCAGCCTCAGATTTTACATGCTGCATGATGGAAAAAGCAGGATGGAAAATGTTTGGAGATTGAGGATTTATAGTTTATTTCAAGGTATCATGAAAAGTTTACTGCTCTCACCTACACCATGCCTCTGTTCAAAAGAAGTGTTTGTTGGGTTAAAAAAGGACCTTGGAATTTTCATCTGGAAACACTTTGATAACTGTAACTATTTTAGATTTCATTGCAGCGTCAGGCTCTTTTAGGTGCTACAAATACCATTTATCCCCCTAATATCATTAATCTCTTGCCCAGTTTTATTGTTTGTGTGTGATCAGTCACTCATGGCTTATATATTACAGAAACTTGAGGAAAAAATAGTAGTATTATTGTGTGCTTTGTGCATTGTAACTGGTATTACATTTATTTTTATGCCACTAAATTTGAAGGGTTTTACAGTAGATAGCTTCATTGCTTGTGTGCCAAAATCAGTCCTCTTTGCCACAGAAAAAATGTGCTCTGCACAGTAGTATTACCTCAGCATTATTTTAATTTCTTAATTAATTGGGATGGGATTTATTAAAACACTCTTGACACTGTTTTTTAAAAATTACATTTTACTATATGCTTTGTTTTCCTCTACTGGTTTGCTAATAATGCTTTCTTATGGGGAAAATATGCTTTGGCTTGAAGTAAAATACATCTGTCTATAGAAAATAAAATGTTACATGCACACAGTTTTTTTATTTGTATGAATATCGGTTCTGTGCTCAGTAAGTGTGCACTGTATGTTAAAAATTACCTGAAGGATATTTTGGGTAGTGACTCCTGAGATCTTTTATCACCACTTCCTTGTTTACCATTACAAATAAACAGGCATGTGTGTGCCTGCTATGCAGAGTGTTATTCCACTTCTCTGAGTTATATTACACTAGGATTCAGTCCTCGGCCTTTGGAAATTGGGAGGAATTTTTTACCTGTGCTCTTCAGAGTTGTGGTCTTTTTTTATTTATTACATAGAATTTTCAAACAGGAATGAAAAAGGTATTCCATATAAAAAAATAGAGAATACATTGCATGGTATTAGCATAGTATCTTTACAGTATTTTGAGGCTGTATGCTGTACATTTGGTATATGTCAAATATAGCATACTCTAGCAAATTAAAATTTAAATGTTTAAACATATTTCTTATATACTTTTATAAGATAAATGTTGCAAATTTTTATGGAATGGAATGGAATGGAATGGAATGGAATAGAATAGAATAGAATAGAATAGAATAGAATAGAATAGAATAGAATAGAATAGAATCTGTGTGAGCAATGTGTGATTTTCAGTCTCAAAAACCATCTATTTATATGTTAAACACAAATTCAATATTGTCTGGTCTAAATCGTGTCAGGATTATTTAATATTTTTATTCTCAGTTCTGCAACTGAAATGCAAAAAATACATGTGAGGGATTAATGTGCATCTGTGTAGTAAGAGATTTCATTTTAATCATGTCTATTATGAAATAATGCAGATTATTTGCTTCCTACATCGTACATTGGTGTCTATTTAATTGATGTCTAGCTAAGAAATTTTTTGCATCACTTACATTTTTTGAACATTGTTAAAGAATTGCAGTAGGCTTTTTTAAGATCAAAGTATTAGTCTCATTGGGCAATTATTTATTACACCTGAATTTATTATCTATACTATAAATCTAATTTTTCAGAATTCTATATTTATTTTGAAGCTGAGATAATTTGATTTAAATGGATTTTAATCTTATAGGACAGTCTTGAAAACAGTTTGGGAACTTAATGGAATATACAAGATAAAGGTAATGCTTCTGGGTCCTTGCCATTTTACAGAGCTAAAGGTTGGTTTTCCCAGACTGGACAACCATCCCTGCAAGCCTTTCCATCTGTACTTTTGTGTTGCAGTCCCATTAGATTCATTGTTTTCTCCAGAATAGGACACAATGATTGTTTCATGCCATATAAAAGAAATATTTTGATTATTTCCATAAATAATACCCCCAAAGGTGTATTACCACTTGAGAATATTTGATTCCACAACTTTTTGATATGTACATCTTATCAGAGTTTATGAAGGCGCTAACTTCAATAAAAATTCATCATAGCATCATTTGATTGTAAAATTAGGGAGAAACTACCAAACTTTTGCATCACTAAACCAGCTGAAGTTATATGCTAAATGGAAGGAAAATTGTATCTAACAATTATGTTTCTGGCATAGCGTTTGACATTTTTAAACCAAGCCATCCTGTCCTACAGCAAAACTATTCCATGTATATATATATAACATATACATATAACATAAAGCAATATATATATAACATGTAATAACAGTGTTACGTATAGCAACATATATGTTGTTTTGACATGTGCCTGAGTGTTCCCTGTGCACTGTCTTAAAGCAAACTAAGGGTTCATTGTGTTTTCATGAACTAATGTGAACATGGGGGGAGGGGTTCCCATCAGTCAGCCTTTTTTACCAAATACCAGCTAAAGAATACCAGTGTAATTTTTTACCGTGTTTTCAATGTATATATTGGTATTTATTATTGCCACGTTTGCTTCCCTAGGGTATGGCATTCACAATCAGATTTTAGCAGATCTCTTTTTGAGCAGGGGAAATAATACCCACTCCCTGCTGCTGAACTGCAGAGGTCTCTTCCTGAAAGCTGTTGCAGTTATCTGCACTTATTTGGTAAGGTGAAGAACAGAATACAGGTTTAAAGGCTTAAAATCTCCCTTTCTTATTCCCAGTTACAGGAATTCATACAAGAAGAACATCTGCATAGACATGCTGCGCCAGGGTTATCACAAGTCCTTCTCTGAGCTCTTCACTCTGATCCAGAAGTGGAATGCCTTGAGGGAGGCTGCAGGGCCTGGGTCAGCCATATGGCATGAGAAGTCCCTGGAGGAGCAGCCTGATAAGCTGGATCAGCTTTACCACTTCCTGACCGGGGCTGAGGCAGCCCAGCGAGCAGGTAAATGGGGGGATTGTGGGTAGCGGAGCAGCGGGAGCCGCAGCCGCCAGTGCCTGGGGGAAGCTTCCAAATTGTTTCATGTATGAATTTGAAACGCTACTGCATCTTAGCACATTGCAGCCTTAGTCAACTGAGCTGTATTTATAGAATAAATGATTAGCAACTGCAGATATCAGGAGAGGTTTTGTGAAGGAAGAAAAAAGAAGGAAAAACATGTAGAGTGCATTTTGATATCATCAGAAATGTTTGATGTATTTATAGCTTTGATAACATCTCAATTATTTTCTCATAGTTTCATTATTTATTGTTTTTCTTCCTCTATAGACCTAAGTAGTTGGTTTTGTATTAAAAAAATTAATAGGTGAAATGTTGTTTCACACAGTAATAGTTTTATAAATCTGATTTTATTAAATACCGTCTGCTAACTGTGTTTGGATTTGTGACTGACTTAAAAAGGATTGTGAACGTGTCAAATAAAATACAGCACACAGATGTAACATGCCACCTGTGAATTACTAGATATTAGTGAAGACATAACTCCAAATTACTGTATTTTCTCTATTGCCTACTATTTACTAAGCACTCATATTTATCGTTTCCTTTTACTATAAATAGTAACATAACTGACTTCATCTTTCTCCATTGGAATAATTTTAGGGATGGAGGCAGATAAAGCTCTGTCTGCAATCCTGTTTCATAGCTGAGTTGATTCACTGTAGCTGTCTTGTTTCAGGTTGCATTTTGATCATTACAAATATAAAAACCTACAGTAAAGCCTGTGACTTGGAATCTAAGCATTTTGTCTGAAATTTAGAGACGGGCAACTTCATTTCAAAAAAGGAACAGCAAAATAAACCCTTTTGGCACTTCAAAAAAACGTTAATTTTAAATGTTTATTTTATGTTTGCCATGAAAGCAAAAACTTGTGTTTTTTTCATTTAATTCACTGTAATTCTTGACAGGAAGTCCAGCTAGCCATAATTGGAAGGAATCCTCAGTTTTCCTGGAGTATGACTAAAACTTGAATTGGCACCCCAGTATCTTGCAGAATATCAGAGAAGTCTGGGGGTTGGACTGCCCTGACAGAAGCATCCTGCCAATATTTGATGGTTAAAAAGTACTAGACATAGCTTGTCTCAATGGACCCGCTCCCTGCATCCACTTGAGGAGAACAGTTTGCCTGCCTTCAGTACATGATATTGTTCAGCATTACAGGCAATGTTGTATGACAACAGAGGTGGCAAACAGGCTCCCAGAGAGCCAAGGCATTGCTGAATGTGCAGTTCCTGCCCTTCTCTCACTGAACCTGGCATTTCTTGTGTGCTGGACTCTGTAAGGTTTGTACCTTCCCCAGAGACAAGGTACCACCACCAGCTGCCTGATTGCACCATGCCTCTGGGAGAGACTATCTCCCAACTTTGCCTGTTGATTAAAATGGAAGAAGAAAAAAAGAATTAGGAGTTGGCAAGTATTGTTATTGAATTGCTAGATTAGAACATAGTTTGTTTTGATTTTTTTTTTTTTACCAGTTTCAATGCAAACCTTTGCACAAATATCTTGTTTGTATAAAATGAGGTTTGAGTTGCCTGGCATATAAAAGGGTGGATGGTAATTCCTGCTGCCAGTCTGAGAGCCAGCAGTGCTGTGAAGATTCACATGAATTGTGCAGCTCATCAAACACTAATTCAGTAGTTCTGCTAATCCAGTTACTCTCTGATTCTAATCAAATTGCTTGGGGCTCTGGCTTATGATCTCCTGACAACTCCAGTTGACACCATTTAAGAATCATTCAGCAGTTCACCTCAGCTGGAACTTACCATGATGTAGCAGCCACAACAGCAGCTGACCTGCATTTGCTCTTCAGCTGCCACAGTTCAAGTTTAAAAGGGTGAAAGAAATAGTTGGGTCAGCAAATGGTGAGAATTTCATGGCCTGGTTGATATTGCTAATATTAGGTTGGGTGAAATTGTACATACCTCAGGTAACAATTATGCTGGAAAAAAAAATAGCCGTTATAAACAATGACCATAAAAAATTCATGACTTGTAAGTTTCTTGATGAACTGAAACTTCTTGAAACATTGGGGTTTGAACCTGGAGTGGTATGTGGAAAACAAAACACTGACTTTGTCAGTAAATAATTTTCTTACTTGTTATTTAATTTTTTTCTGATATTTTTGGATCATAGAATATTACTGTCTGTGCTGGTTTTGTGCTGAACCCACTACACTGCCTAAATTTTGAATATAATTTAGAACTTCTAATTTTAGAGTTTTATGGTACTTATCATAGTGTACAGAGCAAGCTATGTACACATTCCATTTTCATACTTATTGGTGGAAAATGTTAGTATTGTAATGGTTTATATGGTTTATAGTTCTAGGACACTACAATGCTGTGCGTAAATTATTTGCTTCAACAGAATCAGAGCCATCCACCACAATGTGCAGGCTGATATCAAAGAGCAATTACTTTCTTTACTGCTGGGTTTGAAAATAGTAACATTTTGTTTACCAGCATTACACTGTACAGACTAATTGCCTTTACACGCATCAGTAAAGGTTCTCTTGCTTTTCATTTTTAATAGAGTATTTTGGCTGAACTTCAAATCATACAAGAGTTGTCTTTTTCTTTTTTTTTTAATTGCCTATTACCAATATTTGTGTGCAAAGAAAGCATCTTTTTTTCCCGTCCAGCTTAAACTCATTTTTGTTGTATTTGAGTACCTCCCAAGTATTTAAAAAATGGAGAGGAAACTTTAATCCCAGTAGCTTCTCAGAAAAGTGACTGGTGGATTCATTTTTCCCTGAGTTCAGCATTATTCTAAAAGCACTAGCAGAAATATTGGTGACACTTGACTATGTTTTTATCTTCCCTTCTTTATGCAAGTAAAGTAAATATTTCTGACTTCAAAATTGAGGGAGTTTTAATTGTTTTCTGATGTTCCTTTAACCTGGACTAACCTCTTTTTTTACTAGTTCTGGTTTCAAGAACTTAGGAAAAAAAAAAAAGGAGGCAATTGAGCTGTTTAAATATGTATAGTTGTAGGGCTTTTTAGAGAATAATGCAGGATAAATGCCGGAGTAATGGATCTGCACAGTTCAGCATTTGATGTATACAGTGATTTCTTGGCATGTGTATGGAAATACTGGGGGTTCCTTCAAAAGGCATGTTATATTTACTATTTATCAGTACTTGTTAGAGTGAGCTGGTTTGCTTGTAGATGTTTAAAGTAATGCAAAGCACGTTCCAGCTCAAGAACAATTAAAGGAAGAGATGTCCCAGCTGTTAACTCTGCTTTGCCAGAGCAGGAATGCAAAACCAGGGAAAATGCTGCAGTTCAGTGGCTGCAACATGTGTTGGGAACTCAGCACTGTAGTGGCAAATTACCGTGGCAAATCCAGAGGATGGAATCCTGAGGTATGAACAAGTCTTCAAAAGGTCAAGACACTGCTTATTAGCTGATCACTGGAGCAGCTGCTGGATACCAGGAGTTAAAACCTGGGAGCTGCTGCCTTTCTAAGATTCCACCTGCTCCTGGTTCCTGACCCCACTCAACCTTTGTGCTGTGCTGTGTGCTAAATGCTGAATCTCTGTGCATGTGCTGCAGGCTGCTGACCCTTGTTCTAGACAGTACCAGACACACACAATTAGAAAGAAGAGACATCTTGTCTTTCTGTCCCTCACTTCAGTATCGAGAAAAATTTTGACAGTATGAGTTATCATTAGTTTTTGTTGTAAAAGATGTCTTTTTATAAAGCATATGAAGAAAGCATGTGTCTTTGTGTTTGCATTGGAAAATCTTAGTTCAATATACTCAAGGCTGAAAACAGAGTTTAGCATTTTACAGTAGGCAGCTTTTCTGTAAGATTTTGCACTTACGCCTTAGGCCTGTGCAAGAAGCATAGCAATAAACATATTGCCCATGCTATTTTAAAAAAAAATATGGAAAGGGGTTATGCGTTAAAAGAAAAAAATAATACAAACCCTCTTTTAATATTTTCTTGGATGAGGCATAGTTTTGTTTGCTTTTGAGGGGCTGGGCAAGGGAACACTGTTATTTTCTAAGCAAGTTTGTCATTCCCTACTTAATATTTTATCACAGGAAAAAAATGCAGCAGTTGCTGGAGACCAGTGGAGAATTTTATTATTTTTGTAGTTACCTTACAAAAAGTTGAAGTGATCCAGGAAAGAAGCCAAGCCATCTCAAAGTACTGCCACTTGTAGAACTACCACTGATAAGCAGCACTTTTTAGAAAATTTCTGTAGTATGTTTTCATTGTAATAGCTTGGAGTCCCCTTTTAGCATTCCAGGTTACCAATTAATTGCCTCATATTATTATCATTAGATGGCTTTATCCACTAAAATTATACCCTGGCCATTTCTGTAGCATTTCTGTATAGACTGTACATTTGTTAAGCATTTTCCCTTTATGTACCTGGAAATGTTGGGAGTGGTGTGCTCTGTGTGCACTCTAGGAAACAAACTCTCCCTGAAACTTGGTGTCATCATGCTCTCAACTCATATTTTCACTTTCTTCATTTATGGACTTACGGCTAAACTTTTGGGAAAAAAAAAATTATCCATTTATGAATAAACTTTCTGGAATATTGAGGAGTCCTCTACCTGTAGATGTAGAGGCATCCTTTTTCTGAACAAGCAAAAGGGACTGATTCTTTGCCATGTATAGATCCAGGTGGGAATAACTGATTGCAGCACTGTATTCGACTGCAGTTTATGCCTCTTCTTGATTCAATGACTTCCATCCTGGATATTTCTGTGTGTGAATTCTTCACTGCATCAGCTGTCTACTAAATCACTGATTTTGATCTCTCTGGCAAAAGAAAAATGAAACTTCCGGCATTAATAATGTCTCATTCTGACATAAAAAATTACTCCTAGTGACTTAATTGACCTTAGGCCACTCCTTTATGTGTCTTCAAGAGTGGAGTGTCAGTTATAATCCAGTCATACAAACTTTAAACAGATAACTGAAGTGGGGGATGAGTGTTAACGCCTGTTGGAAAGTTTCTGTATGGCCTTTGTGTGGCAGGAACAAAGGACTGACTGATGGCTTTTTGAGTGGAAAATACTGAGTCATAACTGGATGTTGAAAAATTTCTTTCTGTTACCTATTGTTTAAAAATGAGTGTAAGTTCTTGTTAATAGAAAATTGAACAGCTGCCTCTTTTATGCTTCAGGAGAAGCACCAAGCTAGGATCTCTTCATGATGTTTTCATCTGTTCTCTAAAGACCATTCCTGTACTTCCTTTCTTCCACTGCATCCTGTCAAGAAAATCATAGAGATGTAGCAGCAAGTTGTGTTTGAGTTGCACTAGCATGGCTTGCTGACCTTCTGTAGGTTTCTTTTTTTCTCATTTTAGCCATGTTGGAGTTCTCACACTCAAACTGCACCTCACTACCCCTTGCATTGCACTACTTAGTAATTGTCTAGCTGAGCACAGCAAACATGCAGACGTGGATTTGAGTGATCCTCTGTTCCATACACAGCCTTGCTTGCCAAGGGAACAGTTCCTGAGAAGAGCCCAGGAGCAAAGGTGTTCTTCTGTGGGCTCATCAGGGTCTACAGCTTGAGCACAGTGAAGGGAGACACTTCTTGACAACTGAGGTGCACCTAAAGAGATCCCGATACAGAGCATGAAATACCCCGTGTGTTTAATATATGGGGCTTAATGTTTAAGCTTAAGCTGAAGGTTGTTTTGGTTTTTTTTAATCTCTGTTTAACAGGAAGATCTCAGGAAGGTTTGGTAGGACAATTATGCTTTTGTAAGTAAACACTCAATTAGAGAGTTTTTCATTGTTTTGATCAACAGATACCAAAAGATGACTTGTCTACATATATTTTATAATCAGTGGTAGAGAACCTACTCTACAAAATCAGAGTTCAAAGTTTTAGTATATGAACTGCTTCTTGGAGATCTTATACAAGAGAGTATTTTCCTATTCCTCTCCTGGGGATGTAAAAGTTCACTTTCACTAAGTCTGACACACGAGCTTTGCCGCTGTCAAAATAACATCAATTAACTGTATTACTGATTGGTAACTTAGACTTTGAATCCAGAAGACAATATGACTTTAAAAATCTGTAGTTTGGGAGTTTGTTTTATGGCCAGCATAGCTGTTCAGCCACTGTCCAAGACAATGCCAGAGAAATGGTTGTCTTTGTGCGCATCTCATTGTTATGCATTGGCAGGATCACCATCAGAGGGTCACATTAAAGTTCATTCAATCAAAGCCGTGGCAGTAGCTGGAGTCCGCCTCAGGTCACTTCCATCCCTTGGGATTCGCAGGGCACTACTTGAAGTTATTTGCGTAATTTTATGTCAAATAAGTGCCTTGATACTTTGTAGCAATGATTTCAGAGGAACAAGTCTGTATCCAGTGTGTCTGTAGCTAATGATGATCCATCCAATTATCTCTTCTCTTTCTGCGTTATTGCAACCATTTGTATGCATTCCCTGGTATCTTTTGAGTTCATTTTCACTCTGCTGTGCTCTGTACGTAATGTGTATCGTTATCTTTATGTTAGTGGTTATGATTGTCTTGTATTTCGCTGCTCATATGGTTGTGTGCTTGTGATTGTGGGAAGCTCTCCCTCTACTTCTGAGATAATCTCTAAAAGCATTCCCTTGGCTGCAAGCATTGCTCAGGTTAGGATGAGATGATAAATCTCAGCCAAGAAATATCTGCTTTTCTTCAGTGAGAGGAAAGGGATCCTAGGTAACTCCTAGCCGTATCTAAATTGGTTCATTTGGATGGATCCCAGCTGGGTCTTGATAGACATATCTGTGTGTGTTGTCCTGGTTTTTGCTAGGATAGAATTCATTTTCTTCTTGGTAGCTGATAGAGTGTAGTGTCTCAGATTTAGTATAATGTTGATATGTGTGATGGATAACAATGTATAGATGTATAAATATATCTGTTATATACAAACACAGGCATATATGTGTGTATGTGCATGCACACAGGCAAATATATTAAACCCAACCCAGTTTTGTTATTTCCATTCCAGAATCATTTGACAAGATTTTTATGAGGCTGTTGTACCAAAGTAGTCTTAATTTCTAATGAAGAAATACGTTTTATATGATGTAGACTACAGGATATTCTGAAAAAGAGGCACCCAAGAGGTGTTTTTTCAGTCCTGAGAAGAACCACAAGGCATGAAATCTCACAGCCACGAAGGATATTCAGATTAGGAATGCATAAAGTCTGTATATTGATTATTACTCCTCTCAAAGCTGAATTTTGAAACTTAAGCTTATGTTTTGGTTTAAAACCTTAGATCCAGAAGATGAGATGATAATCTGAATGTAATTTCTGAGCTGTTTCATTTTTGGTGATCTTAAAGAGATTTTGAATCACTTGTTTCTTGGAAGGATGTTATCTCTTTTAAAATCCTAGAAATAGAAATTTCTATAACACACGTTGCTTCAAAATCATAATTTTATATATTTTAGTGGGAATTATTAAAAAGGTAAAAGTCTGAGGTTACAGCTTCATGGAAGGGAAAATTCTGAGAAAATAAAAACGAAAGCAAAATAATAAATAAAATAACAAGCAATAAAAAAGTGTTGTTTATCATTAGAGGAATGTATTTTTAAATCAAAATATAAAAAGCATGTTCAAGAATGGGGGGAAGGTTTCAGCTTGATTTCAAAAAAACTTTAAGCAGGAAGAATTCAGACAATGTTCTCTGAAATGACCAAGATGAAGAAAAGAGGAGAAACAAGGAGTAGATGAACATCATGAAGACTGCAGACATGATTAGGTGGTAGACCTTTTTCTCAAAAGACCAAAGTCCAGTGTGTTGTTCAACACACTGAAGAACTTTATCAAGATATTCTGAAGTCAAATAGAATCTCAACAGAGAGAATGAGAGATTTATGTTTCTTCAACAAGGTCATATATCATTTGTAATTTTGAGACAGAACATGCTAGAGATAAGGCTGGCAAAACCCTCATGTGGTTTAGTGATGAATTTAAAGTACTTGTTTGAGTTATTGCTGCTGTGTGTTCCAAACAGTGCAAGTGACTTGCATAGGTGGTGCAATTTACAGTCATTTAACTCATTCTTTTGGAAGCTGGATTTCCCCCAATTTGTCATGTAGGCAACAGAAGAGAATTTAACTGCATCTTTTGATTAAAGTGTTTTAATATGGTTATCACAGTTTCAAAACACTTAGGAAAGATCTGAACTTTGAGATCTTGCCTATGCTGAAAAGATTTATTTTTTCCCAGTTGATTTTCGTGTGGCGCTCCATACCCAAAATTAAGAGGGGTTTTTCTTTTCTCCCTTTTCTCTCCTTTTTGAGCAAAGCTTACAAATTGCAGAACTCCCAAAAACAAAGCAGTTCTGTTCACACATCCAGGTTAGCCAAGCAGTCGTAACTCCTGTTCTTAACTCCTTCTTAACTCAAATACATGGAAATTCCTTAACAGCCACAAACACACTAGGTAGCCCACCAAAATCGCAATGGAGTTTTAGCTAATTATTCAGTTTCACTTCTGGCATAAGTAGAGTTTGCACAGAAAATTAATTTCTATTGGCCATGAAGCGTATAGCTTCATACTGTACCTTATTATCTCAGATTTTTCAGCATCATATAAGAAATAGATCTTTCAAATTCACTTTAGGGAGGAACAGTATGATAAGATTTGTCAGGAATGTTTTAGATTTCTACTCCAAATTAGTAAAGTTTTGAAATAATTCAAGGATGATATCTTGTGGATTTTATTTTTTAAAGGTGCTTTTCCAAGGGAAATAAGCTGTTATTCTGTGACTTTAAATTGTGGATAATATATTTGTGGATAATTTTGTATTGCTACTTAGATTTAGGACTTGCAGGTTTTTTGTAAATTTTAGGGATATTGTGTGTTCATTCAGCTGTCTGAGATGATAAAGAGTAGGATTCAAACTTCAGGCCATAGAGAATATCTGTGACTTTGAATCTCCCCTGCTTTCCACATTTGTTCTGAGAACAATTCCTTGGTGAATTGGGGGGTGCAGGGGATGGAGGGTGGGTCCTAGGGAAATGGGTGCAATTTCAATTTCTCTTCCATTTCTAAGAGTGCTAAGGTACTAAACATGGGATATACGTGAAAACTCAAAGCCTCTCTTGTAAATCATACTTTGAACATTTAAAATTATATTAATTAATAGATTGTGTTTGCAGTGTTCTTTTTGGTTCTTTGTCTCCATCAACACAGTTGCTACCTTTGAGGTCCAAGGTTTGGAAAACTCTCAGGCCTTTTCAGGGCCCAGAGGCTCAGACAAATTCTTCCCCAGTCTCACTCTGACTTTTCTTTTGACTAGCCAGTGTTTTATCCAGGTTCTGTGTGTTTTATTGAACAGAATTTTGGTTTTGCACACAGAAATGAGAACAAAAATATGTTTTTAATTGTGCCTGACTTGTAAGGTTATAATTTTCCACTTATATTTCTCCGAATGAACACATAGCAGAACTTGATGGCATTTGAATGGTGGAAATATAAATAGCTCTTAAATTTCATTATGATTATTCATATTATTGCTATAACATGCAAAATTTCTGAACACTGATGATAATATAACATTTTTATTGTGATTTTTGTTTTTAAAGGGCACTATGAGAAGGTGTATGATAACCAGCTTAGCTTGGCCTGCTTTTTCAATGACCCTGAGGACAAATGGTTAAGTAACTACTTTTATGAGCAAAGCTATAACACTGCTCGGTTAGTAGAAATTGATGGTGGGAAGAGAAAGGCACAAGCATGTGTAAACATGGGCCTCATCGAAGAGGAAGAAGGTAAGGCACTGACATCACAACGCTGCTTTGGATGACATCTGTAGTTACTCTTATTGGGCTGAATAAAAGAGCTGTGGACATGTAGTTCTGTAATGTTTAGTCCTGCTTCCAACTTACACTTCGATGAACAGTCTTTATTTTTGTTCTTTTTAAAATGACATTCTGGTTTTCTTGACTGCAAGTGACACCCTCTTTGTTCATACATGACTGCCACATTGGTGTTTGCATCAGACAAGCTCCATTTCTCCATCCACATCCTTAAACTGCAGGTCTCTGAAATTAGAAGATATTAATAGAAGTAACTAGAATCACAGAACAGCTGAGGCTTTAAGGGACCTTGACAGCTCATCTGATCCAAACTTTCATGGGAAGGGGAGGCTAAGTGAGGTTATTTTAGCACCCTGTCAATTGCATCTTATAAACCTCCAGTGATGGGGACTCTACCACATCCCTGGGGAGCCTGTTGCAGTGAACAGTTGTTCTCACTGTAAACAATACTGCTTTCTTATATCAAGGTGAACCTTGTTTCTGTATTTAAAAGCATATATTACCTTTCATGGCAGAGGGGTTTGTGTGTGGACAGTAGTCTGAGTATAAAAATGGTGTTTTCCTCTGCATAAAATCCTTTTATGGTATGGAAAGACATGCAGTAAGTGAGCCTCAAGTAATTGAATAAAGCCTGTCTTCCAGTTCTAATTTGTAAGTGTACTGCATGCCTAACTATTGCTTAAAATATATGATTTGTGAAGCCACTATGATTTTGTTTCTAAATTTGACTGTGGGTTGAAACAATTCCAGCTCTGAACTCAACTTGTGGCTGATTTCTTGTATAAAGTGACTTCTCTGAAAACAAAAAAAAAAGAGGACTGACAGAAGTTGAAATACTTTGTGGAAATAGTCTAATTCCATTAAATGTCTGACAGAAGATGTGCGTTTTGAAATGCCCAATTTCCCAGCAAAAGCCTGCACATAAGACAAAAAGTCTGCAGCCTTTTTTCTTTTTTTTATTTTTTTAAATTAAAAGGATGTTGTCTAATTTACCTCTTGTTCTCTTACAGCTGACATGACACCTTTTTTTGTATTTCCTCACATCTTTCTAGGCTGATGGTCATTCACACTGTTTTCCTGTGAACTGTTGCCTTATCTTTCTTGCCTGCAGATTCAGTTTTAAAGAATTTTGAACTGGATTCAGTTTTAAAATTTTAAACTTTTAAAATTTTAAAATTTGAGCACATACCAATAATTAATAAAGTGGAAAGATTACTTTCCATGGTATCATCCAGTTTCCCAGCTGATAAGATAGCAGTTGCTTAAAGCCCAGCCAGTCACAACCAAGTCATTTTCATTTTGAATGAAAAATGCTTAGGTAGGGTATCTGTCTCTTACTCGGTAGAATGAAATTACATTAAAATTGATGGTTTTTAATTTTTTTGTAGCCTTTTCACTTGGTCTTTTAGTTACTAAAAAATAAAATTTTAAGAAGGTGCAGACAAGCAAACATTTATATCTACTTGTAACTTCAAAGGCTGTTGCTGAATGTGACTCACTGCAGTTACCCAAGTACTGCCTAAAACAAAAATTTAATGTTTTCTACTTTTAGGATGTCTTAAGCAAAAGTTGTTGAATACTTAAATATCTTGAGGCCCATTACAAAAGCACATAAGTAAAGTTATGAAATAGCCTGAGATGATCAGAGAAGCAGAAACTTTCTTTTCCTGCTGAAGAATATTAGAAACTTTAAGAAGAGAAGCTTCTTATTAACCTTAGTAAAGAGAGATAAAGCAAAGTGGATTTTTACTGCCCAGGGTAAAGATCCACTTAATCTGTGGGCTCTGTCTGTTGCAAGTATTTTCTTTCCAGAGGGAGAGAGAGACAGGTAAAAAAAAATTAAAAAGCTGAGAGAGTAAGCACAGGATTTCCTTTGAGGGACCACAGAGTAAAAAAGACAGCAGATATATTCCATGCACTGTGTATTTCCAAGGGTGAAAAATTGATTCAAGGGAAAGTTCTGATTGGAGAAAAAACATAAGAAGAGATTTTGGGGGGCCATTGTAGAATATTGCATCAGTTTGAATAGTGTTACAAGTAAAATTTTATTTCTGCTATTTTATATTTTTTTTGTTCAGTTATTCATAATTGGGTAATCAATTTGTGAACCAAATTAGTCAAGTTCCCACTTCTCTGGGGGTGTATCTACAGGAATAAATGTAAACACCTGGTCCCAGTTATTTTCAGTTCTCTCATCCAATAGTGTATTTTTCATTACTTGGGAAAGGAAGCTGTCTGTATATGCTTAGGACTGATTGCTTGGGAGTATAAAGTTAAACACAGACTTGTAAAGATTGCTGTTTGCCTTGGAAGAAAATCAATAAATTTGCTGGGTAATTTTTGTGTAATCAAATTTAAAGTTCTTTGACTTTCAGCCTGGTCTCTGTCCTAAAGGCTGGATATAACCTGATGTTCATTAATCTTCAAAGCTAAATATTTGAGGTGTCGGTGGTGTAGACTTCAGTCATGATATTTGGATGCAGGCCACTGGTAGCTGCCAGTAAGGGAAAGAAAACAATGATAAGTGAGTAGCCTGCTACAGACACAAATGGAATGTTCTGCTTGGAGCAAACATGATTTTAATGGCATTTCTGCACAGAATGAGATTTTTAACCTCTTCCCTAAAATACTCAACCTGTAAAATAAGATCTGAAGCATTTATTGATTATTGTAGGACTGTTCAGATTTTGATACTGTTCAATTAGCTGTGCTACCGTCCTATTTTGTCTTTCCTCAGAGGGCTGATAATAAGTAATTTTATTATTTTATTTTAGTTACTCATTTATTACTTATTTTTTCATATAGCTCTTTAATGTGCTGATGTAACTTTACAGACACTGAAAATGCAATGATGTAACATGTTTTTCTCACTTTAAATCCAAAATTACTTGTTGTCCAAGTAAGCACAGGCTTCATGATAGAATCTTTTGTAAGAAATGGGAGTTTTAAAAAGCTGCTTTTCTTTCTGTGTTTTCGATGTGTTTCCAGAAGTAATATCAGTCATTATAAATGTTTGCAATGCTCTCCTTATCAGAGAGTAAGAATATAATCATAGTTTATGATAGATTATATTAGTGTGCTTTCTGCTGAAGTTAATTGTGAACTTGAGGTTTACACTGTTGTATCTTGAAGAAGAAACAGTTCGAGTGCTCTGAAAACGTCTAGTATTGCTTTCTGTAGGTTCTTACATCATTGCAATATTTGAGTGCTTTCTGTTTTCTGCCAAATGCTTACCACCTATCATGCATGAAGTGATATACACCTTAAATATATGGATCCCAAAGTTTAAGATGCCTTATATCAGTAAAAAGAGCAGTCTGGGGGAAAACAGGGAATTCGTACTTGTAGGAGCTCTTTGCTTCAAATATCTTGCAACAAAACCAAAAACCAGATAAATTCCTATATTATTCAAAAACATAGCACAACCAGACATCTGAAATTAGGGTACCTGTCAGTTGCAGTGTTTGGGAACATTTCTGGATACATTTAAATAACTGTTTGAAAAAGCCTGTAAGTATCACAGTAGAGTCCAGTGAATAAAACTTTCAAAATTAATTACAAATGTATACCAGTGCCATGTCAGAACCTGGATCTCCCCTGCTATGAGAGCTGTAAGATGTGTGCAAATGATGCCATTAGTCTCAAGGCAGTGGGGACTTTGAATTGGTCATCAGATTTATATTCTGGTAGCACATAAGGATTAACAAAAGTGGAAGTAATACTTTATCTGAAATCTTTACTGGATTGAAAGATTAAAGGCAAGCAGAACTGGTGAGAGAAAAGGAGTAAGTGCAAAGCAAATAGCAATGCTGGGAATCTCAGAGCTGATTCCCACAACATATAGCTAATTCAGAAACCCAGTTTTGTCCATCTGTGTGTGTTTTTTTAGATTGTGAGTCTTAGGAGACCTTGATGAGGAATTCCTTTAGTCCTTTCTAAAACAGCTTAGGCATTTCAAAAATTTGCCATATTCTGCAAATTAATGGTTTATAAGTGTTCAGTCCCTAATACAACTCTGCCTTGATTATAAGCAATGTTAAGGTCTGATTACTTTTCAGAGTCATGTTATGCCAGAGCTGATCACTTTGCACCTACCCCAAAAAATATTAATAAATTGCATTTGATTTATTTGAAAAGGTGTAATTGTTTTATCTGCAATCATGGTAAAAATACAGTCTATTTCATATGCTGGAATTTGACAGAAACTTTTCTGGTTGAAAGACCTACTGAACAGGAGGGACTTATAAGTTTAATTAATTTGTTGGGGAAAAAGCCAGCACAGAATTCTTGCAGATTTTAACAATCTCAGTTGAGACTGTGTTGTAGGATTTTCCCTATTACTTTGCCATTGTATTGAAATTTAAGTTTTTATCAAGGCATTGTGGAAATTGATGGAAAATATTCTGATTGTGTTTAAGGGGAATTTCACAGAGTGGCTTTATTGGAAGGAGCCTCTGAAGATCACCTAGTCCAATTGCCCTGCTAAAGGAGGTACACCTGAAACAGGTTGCACAGGATAGCTTTGAGTTATGAAGCTTAACTATTAATTACTGGATATATTTGCTGAACAACAACTTAAAGATGGTTCATGATATCTTTTGGCTTTGGCACATAAAAAATCCAAACTGTTTATTTTCTTGTTCTTAGTCAATAAATTCTTGCTAAGAATCCATTCTTACTAAGAAATTATTGATTTTGTATTTTGAATTGTTTATGGCAAGTGTTTTTTAATTGAAAACTGTAATGTATAAATAATTGAGAGAAACTCGGCATAAATTCATGAGTATCTATGCAGAGGAAATATGCACATTTAAGCAGAATTTCCCCAATTGGTTTGCCTTCAGGCAGAAATAATTTATATTCAGATATAAAAAAGAGAATGTTAATATTGCAAAATGAAGTACTAAAAAGGTTTAAAAAGGCAAAAGTTAAAATTGCTAATGAAATTTCAT